CATGCAGTTCAGGACCTGAACCAGGACTGGCACATGCTGCATGCAGGGTTAGACCCTCCGGAGTGTGTGCTGCATACAGAACCACGTTGGACTCTCCCTGCATGCCAGGGCACCCCGAATTGGTTCTGGCATGTGCTACAATTCAATTCAATTCAATTTATTAAGGATTCTGGCTGAAAGCCTTGCTCCCAAATCCAGACATATAACCATAATATAAATTTAAACAAAAATAACAGAAATGCCAATATAATATAATATCATATCATATCATATCATATCATATCATATAGGGCCAACCATTATAAAAGCATCATTCCTACTCCTGGAATTAACATAATCAAGTAGAAATATGGTGACAAATCAGATCATGAATCTATAAAAATGTTGTGCATAGGTCCACAATTATCACAATAAAAAACAAATATAATGATAAAGTTTATCGGTCATACCAATAGTAAAGGATGTTTAATCGCTTCAGCCTTGTAAGCAAAAATTGCAAGACGGTTTACTAAATATGGATCTGTTTGCTGGAGAAGCCATATTAATTTCTCTCTATTTGAGAAGTATGTTAATTTCTGCAAGAACCATGATAAATCCTTTCTCCTTATGTCATTATGTGAGGACATTCTAAGACATAATAAATAGTGTCTTCCAAAGCTCCTAGACAGGCTGGGCAACATCTTTTAGCCCTTAGAACGGAAAGTCTATGTCCAGCCAAAACAGCTGTGGACATCTGTTCAATCCTGAGTCTAGTCAAAGAGGTTCACCATCTACTGTTGAGATCCAGCTGTAAATACCTCCCCACAACTCCCCTCCGCTACATATTCTCCCCTCCCTTACATATTCATTGGTAATTAGACTGAGGGGCGATGCAAATAGCCTTGGCCACTACAACATCGTTCTGCCAAGCTTGGAACCTCTGGAAAACCCACACATTTTCTATCAGGGAGAAGAGTCTTTCACTGTCTTTGACATAAAGTCCTATCCCAGAAAATGCAAAACTACAGGAAAGAAAAGCTAGCCAGGAAGACTGAAGAGAAGAGGTATTATTGAAGTCTTTTATACAGCATAATTTGAGCAAGCGAGACGGTAGAAGAGGCAGGTTTTTAAACCAGAATCCCACATTCGAATAATAATATTAGTTAAAATGGAATCTAATCCTGTCTCTAATCTCAAGAAGGATGCAGGAGTTGAAGGAGGAAGACCCAGAAGAGCCTTGAGAAACTTATCCTGAGGTAAGTCTACATCATTACTGGCAGTATAACCCCATACTTCAGCTCCATATAGAATCTGAGACACAACTTTGGTTTTATATGCTAATATGGGAGCTTGGACTGATTGTCCTGCTGTGATCTCATAAAATTTCTTTATAGCCACTGCCAATTGGGCTGCCTTAGTTTTAACCAACTGAATGTGGTGTTTCCATTATGGAAAAGCTGTAAACATCACACCCAAGTACCTATAGGTTTTAACAACTTTGAGTTTGATTCCTCCCATGCTCAATGGGTATTTCATCAAACTGAGCAGTTACACAGTATGCTTATTATAACCTAAAAAAACCAGTTCCTAAGCTTTGGAGCCTTTGAAGATTCCAGTGTGTTATGGGGTGCAATGGAGCCTGGGAGTGACAAACAGCTGTTCGTTGGTCCCAGGCCCACCAATGCAACACAGCTTGTTTAAGGCTCTGCTGCAATTCTGAGTGCCACAAGCAGCTGTTTGTCAGTTCCAGCACCCCCAACTGCACTGGAAGTACCACTGGCCAGAAAAGTGCCAGCTTTGCTATGCTGTGATGGCATTTTAGGATGCATTTTACTGCTTGAATGCTCAGATGCTAGAGTTTTAAGTGCATTTAATATGTCCCAAGTGTAACATGCAGCAAGGGCCATATAAATATACCATATTTCCTCACATATAACATGCACCTTTTCCCCAAAAAACAGCTGCTGGAAAATGAGTGTGCATCTTATGTAAGGAATACAGAAAGTGTAGGTTATGCCACTTACTGGATGAAACTTAAAATCTTCAGTGATACATAGAGAACAGATCAATGCGCTAACTTAGCTCCCTAGCTGCTGCTACTCTGTTACTTACTACAAGGAAAGACCTTTCTTCATTTGCCTTTCAGAAACAAGGTGTGCATTATGTTCCAAGGAATGCTGTATGTGAAAATATATGGTATAGACACATGCACCCATGCGTGCACACACACACACTTACTAGCTTCCTCAGTACTAAAATTCTTTTCTCTCAGGCATCATCTTCTGAACATGGGTCCTTACCCACTTTCCTTTCTTCGAAACACTTGAGAAAAAAGATAGGCCACACAGCATGCCTACCAGGTCTTCAAGATGAGGCCCTAGTGAACCAGGCTGGAAGTAAATTCTAACCATATATGTATGTCTCGGAAACATGATGCAGGTCACATCAGCCAGACCAAAAGAGGTGGACGTATAACAAGGAGAGAAGGAGTGGGTGTATGGGTAAGGGTTGAGTGGGTAAGCAAGCCAGGAAGCAGCATGCAGTGCAGGATTTAGGGGAAAGCGCCAGGGAACCAACAGCATTTTGGTGAGGGGCATGAAAGGCAGACTCATGGCCGTGGGTGACTGGTGCTTCCTGAGTCTGTCGGGGCACCAGATTGCCGATGGAGGGGACGGGGTGGGGTCCTAATACAGTGGCCAAGCCAGGAACCACCAGAGATGAAACCAGCAAAACCAGAAGTGCACTTCTGCCAGCACTTCCAGTTTCACGGCTGGTGCTTCCAGGGGGTGCACAGCCAACCTCAGGAGGTGCACATGCACCTGTGTGCACCCCCTATGCATCGCCAATACTCATGGCCGCTATAACTGTGAGGAGAAGGAAGAGGAATAAAGTGTGGTCAGCAGAGATGAGGCTAGCAACTGGAGAGGAGTAGCTTGCAGGGAAGCAAAGTACCCCCTGAGGGAAAAAGGAGCAAAAACAGTTCAAGCTTCCTGGGATCCTATAGTATTTTGGGTACTCATCTAGGACAACACATTTCCTGCCCTTTTGCCATGGTGCCTGGGCTTAATTTTTAAATTCTGCTTTGTATTTGCCAATTTTTTATCACTAAGATTTAAAGGCATCTGAAAGTCTAATAAAAAGTGTGCTGATGTTTTAAGTCTAACCGTCACTGTGGCAAAGCATCTTATTCTGTGATGAGGGCTTTGGGGACAGGAATAGAAAAAAATTTTACATGTACCAAATTAAAATACACGTTATACAAATCATATAACACATAGCCTTTGATATGCAAAAAGAGTATTGCATTATTTACATAAAAACCCTTAATGTCTGGGCATTCATCCTTAAAGTATACATACAGCACTATCTCCAGCTCAGATTACACTGCACATATGCTAGACTGTTAGGAACAAGTAGTGTAGAAAATATCTTTAAAACAGTTATTCAATTGAGAGGCAGGCATTATTAATTTAACAGATTCCAGTGTGTATACCTTATCCACAAACAATGATGAAAGAAACATAGTGGCTGAATCCTCCTATAGTAGGATTTTTTTCAACAGCTATCACTGTAATCTTGGAGAATAAGAATAATTACTAGATATTTTAGAATATAATTATGCTCTGCTTCAGAAACCTCCTGGCAACTCATCTTCTTCTACTAAGCTTCCCCTTATATTTTTTTATTTTGTTCACATTGTCATTGAAAATAGATTTTATTTTATTTAAAAAGAAAAGCATTGGTGGACCTGATTCCTCTTTGGTACCTAATATTGTAACTGTCATCACAGTTTATGCTGTCACACTATATGGTTAATCACTGTTTGTTTTGCCCTGTTTGACATTGTTCTCTTTGTTGAGATAATGCTGAGCAGTGTCATAAATTGCTTTCTGTGGCAGTGTATACTGTCATTCAGACTTTTCTGTATAGCTTTGTTTTTATTATTATAAGTGAAGTTTCTAGTTTCAGAACCCCACAGTTTTCCTAACTCAATATTTGGTGTTTTTCAAGTCCTAGCTCTCAGAGGCTAGTGATTACATGAAAATCTCAGTTTTCATTGAAAAAAAAAGTTCTTGCCTTTGTGGTTGCAAACAAAACCCTGAAAATGTGCAGAGTGTACACAAAGGGTCAAAAACAGAAAGCTAATAAGAACAATTCCAGATTTATTATTTATACAACAATCTCATTATTTTAAGTCAATATCATAATATTAGGGGAGGGGGTCATTCAGAATATTTTTAATGTTTGGAGCTGCATAATACAATATGCAACCCCATTCACTGCCATTTCCCCATACCTCACCATCAGGATGTTATTTACTAGTGACTTGCCTGATTATTAGGATTTGCTTATGTTGTATCTTAATACATACATACAAACAACATTAAAGTGATGTTTAGGCACCAACACAAGAAGCTATTTTTTCTCATTTTAAACAGGAATACAACATATAAAAATTAAATATATGTCTAATTGGTTGCTAAGACAAAACAAATAACAAAACAATGTTACAACAGAGGGTGAGAGAATATACTACCTTATTCATTCTGTGTTTAAATTCAACCCCAATTCCAAGTATTTCTTGTACAGATTCATACAGTTAGATAAAATACAATTAAACTTATCTCCAACAAATGTAAAGTATATCAAGTAATAATAACACTTGAGAATTCTTAAAGAATAAAAGAAAGAAAAGGTATTACTTACTCCACTTAGTATCTTGTATTTCAAAAGTGTGCTTTTCTTAACAGGTTGCTCTGTTTGTAAATTCACTAACTCCATCCTGCTGTTTTGAAATATGCTGTGTTCATTGTTCGGTAGCATTTGGCTGTTATTTGTCTCTTACTTCTGACTCTGCTATATACCTTTGTTTCTTTTTTCTTTAGTGTGGCTACTCCTAGCATTCACATGAGCGTGAACTGAAGTCACTGTGATTTCAGGATTGTGATGAGGTCATAGTCCTTGAGTGATAGGGTTACAGAAAGTCACATTAACAGTGAAATCCACTCAGTAAGGTCAAAGTTTGAAAAGCACTATCAGGGGGGGGGGGGGTGATTAAAGATACAGGCACTTCTTGGAAATCTGAAGCAGCAAAGTGATCACACACAAAATGGTATCAGTGAAATACAAACTTTTGATTAAAACCCTTTCCTTAATTCAGTATGCAATGTTTAATTCTCAGAATCGTATTAAAATATGTTAAGTCAAATCAGGTTTATATAACAGCATTCTGATATTGAATTCTAACTCATAACACTGAGCTTTTTTTCATGCCGCTATTCTGAACTCCTGTCTTTTTTCTGTACTATGCCATTCCCTTCCCATCTTTCCAGTCCTCCTTAAGACATGCTTCCTTTATGGTTTCAGTCAAAACCTATCAGCAACCTATATTAGCTAAAACCTGTATTAGCTAAAACATTGTGTATTGCCAAAACTAATGTAGGTGCTTAAAAACCATGAGATTTCTCCTTTTAAAAAAAATAGTTTGGTGTCTTGTAGGGCTGTGCAAAATGGCTCCGTTCCTTTTCAACTTGAGTTTCAAGGTTTTGACAGAACAGTGTTTCGTTTTGAATTTTATTTCGATTAGAAACCGCTGTTTCATTTTGTTTCATCTAAAAAGTGTTTCGATGTTTAGCCCATACACTATAACGGGGAAGCTCAAAACAGCCTCTCTCATCTGGCAGGCAGATGGGGGCCCACAACCCCGGGAGGGCTGCGGGGGCTGTGCCAGTCCTCCTGGGGCTGCAGGCCCCTGATCTGCCTGCCAGATGAAGGAGGGAAGCCGGGTGCTGCCGCCTGGGACTGGGGACCTGGGGAAGAGAACTGAGCCCTATCGCTCAGTTTCCCTCCCCAGCGCTGGGATCAATCAGGCTGAGAAAAGGAACTCAGTCCAGCTGGGCTCAGTTCCCTTCCCCATCCTGATAGTAGGGCTGGGGAGGGAAACTGAGTCATTGGGCTGAGTTGCCTTCCCCAGCCTGATCGCAGCACTAGGGAGGGGAACTGAGCCTTCCCCTGTGCTGTGATCGGTTTCCCACAGCCTGGCCATAGAAGGCAGGGAGAGCCAGGGCTGTGCTCCTAGCTGAGCCACATGGGGCTGAGTGCAGCCCTAGTTCTCCCCTGTCTCCCACCACCTGGCTGCTGGCTGCTTCGAAACTCAAACACTAGCCTCATTTTGTTTTAAGGCCATTTTGAAGCCCTTCGTTTCAATTCAGTTTAGCTGTTTCAAGCTCAAAATGAGTCGAAACAGCATCAAATTGAAACAGCCAGCAAAATTTCGCACAGCCCTAGTGTCTTGTTCACTGGGTATTGATCACATTACCTCCACAATTACAAAGCCTAGAAAAATATTTAAATGAAAGTTTAGCTTCTCAATATTCAAACAGCTCTAATAGAGTGGAGGTCCTGAGAATAATATGAAATATTGCAAGACTTTCGATAAAAATCACAAATGTAACCATGCTGACCCCATTCTGAAACAATTGCACTGATTTCACTGGGGCCAGTATTTTACCCCAAGTAATTTGACTGCATTGCTTTTATCTGATGAAGGATCTAATCCAGGGGTTTTCAGCTTTTTAAAATAAGTGTACCCCCAGCGGCCTGATTTTTAGTAAGTGTACCCCGGGGGGGGGGTGAGCGGCCAGATGTGGAACAGGGGGTGATAGCGATTGGCTGGACGTGGAGCAGGGGTGTGGCAAGCAGCAGAGTGGCAGCAGCACAGCATCTATGTGGCCCTGCTCTCACCCCACCCTGGCCCTGCTCCTGTGAGGCAGTGGCACACAGTGGCATCACTCCATCCTCGCCCGCCCCCATGCAAAGACAACCCAAGCAGGGTGCAAGGCCTGGGCCAAATCAGCGTGTGCAGGGCCCTGCCCCTGGACATGAGGAAGCCAGCAGCAGATTTGGTGGTGGGCAAGGGGGTGGTGAGCAGCCGGACACACTGGATTCAACTGTGGATTTGGCAGTGAGAGGGGTGCCAACCAGCCAGATGTGAGATTGGTAGCAGCATGGAGTCACTGCGCTGCACTGCTCCACCCGGCTCTGCCCGGCCCCCTAAAGCACAGGGCCCAGGGCAGTTGCTCCAGTTCACGCCCCCAGGGACGGCCCTGCCCCCAAGTATCCCCTGGGACCTTTCAAAGTACCCCCAGGGGTACATGTACCCCATGTTGGCAACCCCTGATCTAATCCTAAAAACCTTCCTGCCTATAAAGCTTTCTTCTGTAAGCATTCCTAATGATAAGATGAGAATATAAGGATGTAAAACTAGTGTGGAAAGGAGTCATCTGGGCCTTTCTCTGTTAAGCACCAAGCACACTACAGGAGCCCAATCTCTCTTTCCTACAGTGTCAGATATCAACTTCCAAATCACAGTCTGGTATTATCACTTAATGTACACATTCCATCTGCCCCATCTGGGCATTTGTAAAGATTGCAGCTTTCAATTAAGTGCTGTGCTGTTAGTTGGACACTGCATTCACACAGGGGACTGTCCAGCATGTTCCTCTTGTGAAGTGTTGTTTTGAAGCATCCATATCCAGATCTCAGTCTGTCCAGTTTGACCCACACTTCTCTGTCAACATTGTACCTAATGGGGAACTCATTTGGTGTTGATATAAAACACTGTAGAAATAGATCTGACCTTTCCCAGCAGTCACCCAGCTTTGTTGCTGCCCATAGCTTTGGTTCAGTATCCCCAGTCTCTGCCAGGAGCTTGTGGGCTTCGTGTATAAATGGTTTATGACTTTTAAGCCTCTTAAGCCTCCATTTGTTCAAGTCTTCAGTTAACAGTTGATGGAGCAGGTGATTTTCATCATCTCTTGCCTCTATTGCCAGTAATGACATTAGGTCAAGACAGGACCTAGCATCATCATAACAAGTCCAGACAAAATTTTAAAATTAGTTTTTTGGTGTGTAGTGTAGTGTCTCTTAGAAAGAATGCGTCACTATAGATGGATTCATTGTCCTTACATTATAAATCTTTCTCAGCAAGTAGTAAAGCTGGCAGATTCAACTATAGAGATTTAGTCTTGATATAAGGGGAACAGAGACATAATGTCTCTATGCCACCTACTAATTAATCTCCAGCTTTGCAAGGGGGCATCTAAGGGGATTCTGATGGGGGACGTCAGTCACCCTGACATCTGCTGAGAGGGCAATGCAGCAGTGCACAGGCAATCCAGGACATTTTTGGGCAGTGTTGGGGATAACTTCCTGGTGCAACTGTTGGAGAAGACAAGTAGGGACCTTGCTCTTCTTGATCTGCTGCTCACATACAGGGAAAAATTGGTGGTGAATTTAGTAGTGGGTGGCAACTTGGGCAGCATCAATCACAAGATGATTGAGTTCAGGATCCTGAGGAAAGGAAAGAAAGAAAGCAGCAGAGTAAGGAACCTGGACTTCAGAAAAGCAGACTTTGACTCCCTTATGGAACTGGTGGGCAGGATCGCTTGGAAGGCTAGTCTGAGGGGGAAAGGAGTCCAGGAGAGCACAGGAATGAACCATCCCAATGTACAGGAAGACTAGCAGGTATGGAGGAAGACCAGATAGGCTAAGGAGGGAACATCTCAGTGAGTTCAAACACAAAAAGGAAGTTTATAAGAAGTGGAAAATTGGACAAACAACTAGGGAGGAGTATAAGCTCATTGCTTGGGCATGGAGGGATAAAATCAGAAAGGCCAAAATGCAACTGGAGTTGCAGCTAGCAAGGCACGTGAAAGGTAACAAAAACGGTTTCTACAAGTATGTAAGAGAAAGATCAGGGAAAGTATGGATCCATTACTGCATGGGAGAGGCAACCTAGTGACAGAGGATGCAGAAAAAGCTGAAGTACTCAATGCCTTTTCACCTTGGTTGTCACAGGTTAAGTCAGCTCCCAGACTACTGTACCTGGCAGCATAGTTTGGGGAGGAGGTTAGGAGCCAACTGTGGTGAAAGAACAGGTTAGGGACTATTTAGATAAGCTGGGCATGTACAAGTCCATGGGACCAGGCACAAAGCACCCAAGGGCACTGAGGGAGTTGGTCAATGTGACTGCAGAGCCACTGGCCATCATCTCTGAAAATCTGTGGCTGTCAGGAGAGGTCCTGGATGACTGGAAAAGGTCAAAGATAGTACCCATCTTTAAGAAAGGAAAGAAGGAGGATCCAGGGAACTACAGACCAGTCAGCCTCACCTCAGTCCCTGCAAAAATCATAGAGCAGGTCCTCAAGGAATCCATTTCTAAACACTTGGAGATGAAGACAGTGATTAGGAACAGTCAGCATGGAGCCCCCAAAGGTAAGTTATGCCTGACCAATCTGATTGCCTTCTATAATGAAATCATTGACTCTGTGGATGTTCGGCGAACAGTGGACATGCTATACCTTGACTTTAGAAAGGCTTTTGATACCATAACGTTCTCACAAGCAAGCTAAAGAAGTATGGCTTGGATGAACAGACTATAAGGTGAACAGAAAACTGGCTGGATCATCAGGTTCAAAAGGTAGTAATCAATGGCTTGATGTCTAATTGACAACTGGTATCAAGTGGAGTGCCCCAGGGGTCAGTCCTGGGGCCAGTTTTGTTCAATGTCTTCATCTACAGCCTGAAAGATGGAATGGAGTCCACCAGTTCATCAGTGGCAGGTCCTGTCAGACCAACCTGGTGGTCTTCTACGATCAGATCA